ATAAATAGACAAAACAACACTTTAAAAAACACAACATTCACAAGATGTAAATCTTCACTATTGTAAAAAGTCAACCTTTTTATACCTACCGCCCACTTTTGTATCTCTGTTAGTAGTAAAATTTTCTAACCGCCCACCAATTCCATAGTAATGGTGATTTATAAAGTAGGGAAGTAACTTTACTTTATAAAATTTATAAAGCAGAGTTACAGTAAACACCTACCGCCCACTATGAAAGCTGGAACACCCACTAGTGGGCGGTAGGGACCAGGTTGACTACCACTGCTTTATATAATCTATCTATTTCCTTGTTCCAATCATCTCTCCGTTAAACCTTAACTGTTCAAAGTTACAATGGCACTGGGAAAAAAAGTGACTTACAACTGGTCCTTCCATTCAATGACCATTGCAGCATCCACACAGACATGTGATCAAAATTAGGGTGCTTGGCAACCGCATGCATTTTACAATGGTTGCAGCATCCTGGGATCATATGATCATCATTTCTGACCTTCCCAGCTGGCTTCTGACAAGCAAAGTCCGGGGGGGGTGGGGGATAGCCTGATTCACTTAACAACCAGGTGATTCGCTTAAACAACTAGACTGATTTGCTTAACAACGGGGGCAAAAAAAAGGATTGTAAAATCGGGTGTGACTCACTTAACGTATCTTGCTTAGCAAGAACAGACATCCTTTTTCCAATTGTCATTAAGTCAAGGAGCATCTTTACAATTTCACAAGCAAATCATACACACTTGATATTGTTTGTCTTCAAGAGGCATGCATTTGTAAAGCTGAGTCCAAAAATTCCAAAAGCAGTCAGGTTGGAAAACACACAGATTTATACTTTCTTATTGTTTAAAGATCAGTGGCAGAAACCTGACTTTTTAGTAGTGTTAGCCCACCCATGGAACTCAAAATAAGACTCATGAGGGCCCCTTCATTTTATCCCAATTAACATTATTATGTAATATAGCTTGGGCTAGAGATAATGAATAAAACAATGTCATACAGAAAGCTCCAGGACCAGGTGAGGAGTCCTCTCTGACTGCAGTCCTATATCACACTGGGTTTCCTGGGGTCTGTATTCTGTATGCAACACTTGCAGGCATTTCTACATCACTTTGGTTTAAACACCATCAAAAGGGCCACCTCCAAAGGCAATTTATCAAGGGTTGCAAAATACTACCAGTATTTAGCAAAGGCAGCAAAAAGACTTTCAATACAAGAATTGTTTTAGTAGAGCTGACCGACTAATTAGAAATTGAATCTTTCCTCAAAATATTATTTCCAATAATTTATCTGAGTTCCTGATAATTACCAATGTCTATTAATGTGAACTGCATTGGTTCAGATGAATTGCTCCCAACTTTATTTGTGGCTTTGACCACAACTGTATAAGTAGTTTCAAAGTCCAGCTTTTTCCTGAGATCTACTGTGTTAACTGTAGTGCTAGTTTTTTCTCCCAAGACTGTCCCATTGGGGGTTTCATTTGTTACCCTGCAACAAAAAAGGAAACTGAGATTAACAGTGTGAATGATCTTTTCTCCTCCCCCTCCTTCCCCTTCCCACTTTCCTTCCTTCCTTCTTTTTTCCTTGCCTAGGTTTATTTTACACCTATATAAAATTGTATGACAGTCACATAAATTCTATTACCACCTAAATGTTCAGTTCATAAATAAAGACTTGTTTCTTTGTATGTGACTTGAATCTGACACTTTTTATTATAATATAATACACACACACACACACACACACACACCAATTCGAATCAAATAAAAGAATTGGCATTTTTATTATATCAAAGTCTCCATCCCAAACCTCTGGTGCATCTAAAAATTATCAATATTCATGTGATATAACCCGAGTCTGTAACAGCCCCCAGAGATATTAAACTAAAGGGCCAAAAGGGGGAAGTGTGTTATCATAAGCCATGATATCTGTCTACGATTGGATACAATTACATTCTGCCAACCATCAAGAAAATCTTCTGAATGGAACAGATGATTAGAAAAGGGAAGAGGAGATAGAGAACTTTTATCCCTGGACTTTCTACTAATATAAAGATAAATTGTGAGAGACAGCCACCGATTTTAAAGCCACAGAGGTTAAAGAGGAAGCAACAATATCAGCTGGATCCAACCTAACTTCCAACCTCAGAACAATTTATTAAGGTGAAGGACCTTATTCCTTTTGTAGAATTAAATAAGGTTCAACTCATCATAGACTATGCCTCAGACTTTACAATATTTTGAATTACCCTAAGAATGGGAGCAAATCCTCAAAAAATGCTTGCAGAGCAAAGGTGGATGTCAGGGTATTTAAGTTCTAATGGTTGGCAACCATGGCCAATATTTTGATCAAAGCTAGCTCAAATTCCACTCATTTCATCCAGGTGGTGCATAAGAAAATGGAAACAAAGATGAAGTGATAAGGCAGAATTGGCCAGATGTAAACTTAATTATAAAGGAGACAGAACTTACTTACCATAGGGTATAGGTAGTAAACAGATAGGTATAATATCCTTTATCCCAAGAACAAATGGTGGCTCCATATTTTCCATACTGGGCACATGACACATTTTTTGGTTGATCTGGAGCAACTTAAAAAAGAAAAATAGTCAACAGCTGAGACGGGTGGAAATGACTCTTGGTTTGAATCTTTGTTGCTTAGAAACATTATTGTTTAAGAGTCTGTTTGAACATTCCAGTGTTCAGTGAATCCATGCATCAAACCTCTTTGAGGAAAGACCTGTCATGTGTACAGTAATAATACATATATTCCACCAAGGAAGTGAGACATAAGTTATTAAGATTTCATCTTATTTTCCCCATTAATTCAGGAGAGATAATATTGTCAAAAAATAGCTTGGTTTTGTGGTGGTTTTCTTATATGAATCTGATGAGGGGAAGTGGGTTGCTGAACATTGCAACAAAGAGTAGTGGTAAAGGTAAAGGTTCCCCTCACACATATGTGCTAGTCGTTCCCGACTATAGGGGGCAATGCTCATCTCTGTTTCAAAGCTGAAGAGCCAGTGCTGTCCAAAGATGTCTCTGCGGCGGGGGCGTGGCCTGTTGCCGAGGAGGGCTCCACCGAGCTCCTCAGAGATCTGGTCTGTATATCTAAATAACATCATAGATAGCACCCCTTTTTGGCTAAGAAAGGGGCAGGGAGGATAGCTCCGTAGACTAGGGTCTATTCGTAAGCCACAGCCTTTTTCTTTTTTTGGCTGTGGAAGAGATTAGATCCAGCCGAAGCGGAGTTTTTTTCTCCGGCCATTTCTTCTCCGCTGCCTTTTTTTTTTTTTTTGGCAGCCCCAGACAGGCTAGCCCCCCCCAGGACAAAACAAAGTTTTTTCAAGCTAGATTTGATACGGG